AGAATGTGAAAACAATACAGCCTTTGCTTTTGATCTAAAACTCAAGTGTGACTTTTATTTTTTAAAGCAGGCACTAACTTAACTAAAAGACTTACAAAAGAGCTGATTATAAAGCTACAAAATGATTAGGTAGAAATAACTCATTAGAATTGATAAAATGCCAAGCTGTAGTTGAAGATACAGAAATGAAAACAGCAATAGTCTTGCAGCCAAGTAATTGGTAGAGCTCTTGGCTTAATTCATTACATACTAAAATTTTAATCTTTTTATGTATTAAAATATTTTAAGACTAAATGATGACCAGCAAATATTTAACCTGTAAATATAATTTGTAACAATTTTCTGACATTATTCTTTCAGAAAAAAATCTGACTTGTATTGCATTAAGATTTGGGGATCAGATCAGGTTCTGGACAACACAAGGACAGCCTTCTCCAAATCTAATTATTAATGGCATTATTGAATTCAACCAGATGTTTCACATGGATAAAATTAAGTACACGAATAAATCAAGATCCAAGCGCACGCTTAGATTTGACAGACGATAAGGAAAGGTGAAACAAAAAGTAATGAAGACAGTTAATGAAAAACTATATAACCCTGGTTGTTAATATAACTTGAAATTAAAAATTCAAGGTGTAATAGGCCTGTTAAACGATCACTCTGCTGACAGACAAATGAGAGGGATGTTTCTCACATCATATTGCCTACTAGCTTATATCTGCCCAAGTTTTAGCCAGCCTGAGTAGTAAACCTTTTATGTAATTTCCTTTGGGAATTCATAAGAGAGAAATATGCTCTCAGTGTACAAAATATAGCTAATGAGCTACATTTCTGTTAACAATGTGAGGACTTCAAGTGTTATCCTGACGGATAATCCTTTATGGAAATGATGTAAGCGAAAGGTAGTGTGCATGATTTAAAATACAGTACACACTTGTCCTCTCACAGCTTTCAAAACTGCAAGATCATTTGCACCTAATCAGCTGCAAATCAGACATTAAACAAGAAAAAAAAAATTAAAATCTAGTATTTTAAGAAAATGAGGAAGACATTAATAAATGAAACTTTCTAACCAGTAAAAATTATTTTAAAGGAACATTTTAGCCATTAGTAAGTTATTCCTACAAAAGAATGAAACCTCTGGAAGCAAGAATTTCGATTTAAACACCAATCTCAGCCAATAATTACAATTGTACTTCTATAATAATTCATCCAAATAGAATCAAGAATTAACTCAAAGTGTCTCTGGTGTATTGCTGTTGTAGTAAGTTTACCTGGAAACACAGACTGAGATGATGGCTGGCTTTGGATAAAGGTGGTATAGAGAAAAATGTGGAGCACGCAGTGTGCACTCCCTCTACTGGGCACTGAAATTATCCTGAGCAGGCAATCAGAGAGAGAAGGGGATTTGTCCAAGCATTCAGATACCAAGAAATAAAAGCCCTTTTACAGCTTCTGCCCTCTTCTCCTAGAGTCAGCTAAAACTCAGATTCACAGAAAAATAGATGTCAAAACTCTTATTTATACTCCAAAATACTCTCTCAGAAAACTGACACCTGATTCACACCCCAAAAAAATATTTACCTACAGTGAACTTAACTTGAGTAAGCACAGAAAAACTCATTTGCCTTTGACCAACACAGGTCTGGGCAGCTGGGATGTATTAACGTTTACAAAATCTGCTGCAAGGGATTTGTTTGTATAAAGCCAAAAGATAACCTTTGTTGTTCCTTTCCCTCTCCTCCCACAGCTCCTGAGAGGTAAGCATAGAAAGGTGCTATAGAGTACTTGTGTTGGCAGGGTTTAAGTGTTACATAAAAATGATGGCATTCCTTTTAATGAAGGCTTTCTGATGGTTTGAGTTCTTCACTATCACGGAGGAGGAAAGAAAGAGGTAGTTATATCTCATGTCACTATAAATCACTTTGACTTAAAGTGTTTCACTGCATAAAGTTCTGTGCTTTCCTTCAAGTAACTTTGTATAAGAGAATTTCTGTAAACCTACAGAAAGGTCTCCTGTAGCTTGCAAAGCAGTGTGGCTTCTACATTTTTCAGTAAAGATGAGGCAAAAAATCTTCAGAGAAAATAATTTGTGCTGATTTTCTAACACACTTTAATTGCCTAAGGATGCTGCCTTGCAGACACATGTTCCATGATCTGGAAAATGAAGTGAGAAACAATGGAAAGCATGGAGATAACAGTGAGGATTGCCAAAAGCACACACCTTCATGCAGCAAATGATTCTTCTGTGAAGACAGGCCAGGTAACCACCAGCTTCTTCCTCTTAATGTAATTTACATCTAGCTACATTGCTGGTATATTCATATTGAAAGAGAGCATCAAGAATTACCCCAATTACACATGCCTTACTTTATCTCAGCCATGTGCAAGTGTAACTGCTCAGTTAAACAGAAGTACTAGCAATACGTAGCAATGGTAAGAGAGTCTAGGACCTTCCTTCTTTTAAGTGGCAATTTAAATCTCTATGGCATCGAAAGGTATAGTAGAGTTCATAGTAACAGGTCTCTTCCAGTTTCACTGTACGATCTCTCACTAAAACTTCCCCTGGATCAACTTTCTTGATCTCAATTTGAGGGTGAGTAAAGCCTTTCCTCCCCCTCATTGGACAGAGGAGATGCAAAGCACAGAACAGAACAGGTGAAGAGTGGGGAATCCAGAGACCACGGAAGCACAGAGAGCGAGCACAAAGAAAAACCAGAAAGTCTGAGAAGACTGGGCAAGCTGAAGTCCCCAGCCAAGTTTCCAAGTCCCTATCATTCTGTTTTATATTTGCTGATAAAATAAAACTACCTTCTGCCTGAAGGTAAGGCTTGCCTGTGGTGCAGGATCATAATTACACTTGAAATGAGCAAGTACACAAACAATTCACCTTTATGTTCTCCAGCTAACAATATATGTACCTCAGATTGCAGTCACTAGCTGCCAGGAAAACTGCTATCATATCCAAATGTAGAGATGTCACAGATCAACTACAAGCTAGACAACTTACACAGTACCCTCCTCACTCAGACACTTTATTTACACTCTCTCTCTCTCTGCTTACTAAATGCTCCACTTCATTTCTAGGTGTGCTCATGTCTACACACGAGCAGGTACAGCACTCACTGACTCCATGTGCTAACAAATAACGTCCGTAATGCACTGAGGTCTGTCGGGACAGGAGGGCTGTGAGCCAATGCTTTGAAGGACAGACTATCAGTGCTTCTTCCCTTGGATCTAAAGATAGAGAGGATAGCAAAACTTTGGCATGGCAGGAATTATAGCTCCAATGACACAAGGACCTACAGACGGGAGCAACAATACATAACCCAAGTAGCAATGCTGCATTAAAGAGGAGCTGTGTAGCGTCTCATATGCCGACATGTAAATATTTGGCAGGTGGGGATTTAATAATCACAGTCTAAGAGATTCTGCTTATTTTGTTCTATCAGACCCTCATTTCACTGTGTTTTTATGTTTCAACAAAGTCATTTGACATGCAACTAAAAGATAATTTATACTGTTTTCTTCTGCAGTAACAAAGCTCTCTATGTTCAGGTTGTAAATTTAAAGTAACTCACCACTAACAGTAAATTTGGGTATCTTTTACTGGAGAAAAACCCTAGGAATAATTATGTATTGCTTTCAATGCTGAAGTTAATACCTCAGTCCGCATTGCTTCACTTTGAATATATTCTTTGTGAGCATTGCTATGTATTTTACTTTTTTTTTTCCTACTAACAACGGAATTTATTAGCTTTCAAACCTTGTATAGATAGCATTGATCAATCTCCCGAAGTGGTAACAACACCACTTTAAACACAAACACATGCGCACGCACACACATGAAAACCAAGGCTTGAATGTCCTTGATATCTTGCAAGAAATATAGCAACCAATATTCCATGCAGAGGTGCAGCAAATGAAGTCCTGTCAAGCAAATGGCAGGAATGACAGCAGATGTCTGGATTCCTTCATAGCTGGTTGCATAAAGGTAGCACACATATTTCACTGGAGAAAAAAAAACCACCTCTGACAAGACAGTCTTTCAGTACTTTTCATTCAGAGTTGGCATTTTTGACTGGTGTGCTACATCAGTAGGTATTAAGACGATGAACCAGATTAATCTTGATAAAGTTTCATTTGCACAATGAAAGCAAAGTTTACAACATTCAGTCATGGCTAAACACGGCTACCACAATTTAGTCTAAGATATAATGTCCAGATCAAGTTCTTACAATCCAGTCATAAACTAGATTCCTCTCTGGACCCTGACCCAAATCACTTATTTTCATGTCAAGCCATACAGTAATTTTGTTTGATCACAGCCAACGGAAATAAGTATTATGCAGCTCTGCTTTTTAGCTACATAAACAAGCCATAGACTCATTTTTGGATCCAAATAAAGTAATTGATCTTTCAGCCTCTGCTTATTCACAAGTTCTACCTATTTGACAAAAACTGTCATATGCAGCTAATCTTTGTGAAATATTTTGATATTTTAAAGCTTTATATAACAACTAGTTCTCTTAAGATACCCTCAATCATATTACATGCTCACTAGAGAGAGCAAATGCTCCAAAGCAGAGACACTACGCTCCTGAATTGTGAGACATTAGCATAGTTTGGGAAGTTGCAAAAGACCAGGAGTAATACAGCGTTTACTGAGAAATATGCACAAAAGAAGCTGAGGACATAGTGTTACACATGAAGAAACTAAGAGCAAATAAAATCTGAACTTAACCACTTCTCTGTCCTAAACAACAAGAGTGCTGCCTTACATGGTTTTGTCTAATAATTGGGCCCTGATGTACTACACAGGTGTTTAGTGCAACTTCCTCCAGTGAAGCTACAACCAGCTGAATTAGTGTACTTTTCATTAAAACTTGTGTTGAAAAGCTTCCCAGATTAAGGCTTAAGAGAAAGTTCATGTTTTGTATACAAGCTAAACATTACTAATGGTCCCCTCTAGTAAAACAGAATTTTAAGAAACTCACCACTTTTCTTTTTCTTGCTTTAACGGAAATGTTCATTTCCTTGTATTTCTTCATAGCAGTCTCCAATTTATTCTTGAGATCAATGGCACATCTTAGCCGATCATCATTTATTCCTGCTCTGGTAAATAACTGCAAAGCAAGAAATCATCACTCTTACTCTTTTTTCTAGACATCTGAGCCAAAAAACATTTTCAATTTTCCTTCAAAATTAATGAAATAACATTGTCACAATTTCCATTATTTCATAAGTAACAATCAGTGAGGCCACTTCTTTTCCCATCTAGAATATAAAACCTAATAGCAACTACTAAAGACAAAGAAAGAATGAACAGCTGGTAAAACATCTCCTGAGAGTGTCCTACAGGCCAAATTCCATGCATGAGGTTCCCAAGCAGTAATATCAATTGACAGAAAGAACATATTGTTTTTCTGATATAGACATTTCTGACAAAAACAAGCTGTGTTTTACCTTAACCCTTTATGAAGAAGTCCTATTTTACTCTATCTTAAAAAAAAAAAAAAGTATGACTGTAGGTAGCATACCTAATGCTGAGAGCCATCAAACAAGTTACGTAGCTCCTGTAGTCTCCTTTCGTCCACCCCTACTGAACTAGAAATCTTTTCTGTTTGTACCAATGTTTCTTCAACCTTAATTTTCTTTTTGCTCACAGTCCCTCAAGTTTTACTGTACCCCAGTCCTTTCTTCTCTATCTTTTTATTTAAAAAATTGAAAAAAACCATCTCTTTATCCCACCTGAATCCAGGACTGCACAGAAGGCCAGAACTTATTTCTGAGGAGTTTGTGAGCATCCGTAACTGTGCTTATTATGGCAGTATTATCTTCATTCTCATGCACTTTTAAATCTGCTCAAAACAGGGGAAAAAAAAGAGTTAGTGCACGATGTTTATAGTATCTTCACTGCAGGAGCTAAAGAAGGTAAGCAGAAAAAGTAGACATGAATCTTTCTAAAATATTTGATCACTTCAGGGAAAGTTACAAACATCAGAATATTTCTCTGTTCAGTATTAATTATTCTACCATTATCCACACATTCAAAAAAATCAGAGGAAGAGATGAAAATGTTTCAGTCCAGGGATGACAGAAAGAGTTGTTAAGCCATCACTACTAAGGAATTGCCAAATAACCTACAGAGAAGTGCAGTCTTACTATTTACATTACACCTTGTCCTAAGTTCAAATGAACTGGGCCTTATTGCACCAGTTTCTGCATATTCAATATAAAATAATCCCTGCCCCAGTGGCAATAGGGATCTGATTTTCAAAGAAGCCAAGTATGCCACTGTCCAAGTAAAAAAGATACTTTTCACCCATTAGCCATTTATAAGCCCCACAGATACATTTCCAATTCTGTTGTCTGCAAGCACAGAAGTAGATACCTGCTTTACTGGCTGTTTGCACATGAAAGTCCATTAGAACAGTATTTATAAGAGACTTCACTTAAATTACCAAAACACAAACTGCTATAATTTTTCTACAGGTAACTCACATAATTATACCTTTTTTTTTTTTTAAATCTGCTTATAATCCTTAAGACTTCCTAGCAAAACTACTTACTACTTCTTACAAGCTGTTATTAGCAAGGGAAAAAATAAGTTTAAGAAACACTCAATTGTAAGATTTTTAAATTAGCAGCTTATACCCCAGATATCGAGAGAAAGAAAGAGGTGAGCAGTGAAGTGTATGAGAAAGAAAGTTATGTGGTACACAGATTATTTTTTTTTTTTAACACAGGAACCTCATCATAACCACTATGAAGTGCTGTAATGTGGTTTCAACAACTAATACAAAAGTTCAGTCTTAGAAGGTAATTAATAAAAATCTTTTAATCACACACAGGGACACCCAAACCTAAGAATGGTTACTAGATGCACCAGAAATAGAAAAGAACTCCAATATAAATCAAAGTGGTGTCCAGGAATCCCAAATCAAAATGGTGTCCAGGAACCCCAGCATTTAAATCACAGCAAAAAAACCAACCCACAACTACAAAGCACTTCAGACAAAGGCTGCCTCCAGCTCTATGTGAAAAATTTTTCCAGGTACCTGTGGAGATTTCAAGGTCGAGAGTGTACTTATGTGAAATAAGCCCATGGTTCCTAACAAAAGTCTGGTAATCATCATCATCGAGAGCGGGGACACCAGATTCAACTTCTGAGCATGTGTCTCCTTCTGATTCTTTTTGCTCAGGCTTCTCCTGTTTCTCATCTAACTCTTTGTTTTTATCAGTTCTAACACACTGAGAAACAGAAAGAATGTCCTTGCTGCAGCATGGCTGTTCATCATCCACACATCCAAAATAGGACTGGTTCAGTTCCATCTGGGAGGACAAGGGGGATGCAGGTCTATCCTCATTAGCAGACATTCGTTTGTTGGGTTCCAGTTCCACGTCATTCACAGTGAAGTTGAAAGGATCTGGCATCAGAAGCTGGAAACAGTTTTCCATTTCTGTCAGTGTGTCAGCAATCTCTTGGGACATTTCTATTAAGACACAATTGTTTTAGAATATTGTTAAATACTGTAAAATGCTATAAAATGCTAATGTCTCCTGAGCAGACACGGATTTACAAAACAAATATGATTGCCAAAAGGGTAATCCATTTATCCAGTAATCAGTGATAATTTAGCTATACAGATCTCTCTCCGCTGCAGAAAACGTCCTTATAAAAGTGACAATACTTTTCTTAAACAGGAAATCTAGAATTTCCTGGGCAAGGAATTTAGAATCAGAGTTCCTCCTTTCCCTATCCTCTCTAAAATTTCACTATGCAAAGACGACACAAGTACTTCATAGAATTTGAAGGAGAACCAGGTTCAATGAGGATATTCTTAGTGACATCGGTGGGTATTCATTCTACAGCCACAAATGTTATAGTTGCTTGTAGGTGTAGCCATGAATATATGCTATTGCTCAAAAATATGCTACAAATAAAAGTGACTTTAAGAAGGTTAAATCTCTTTAAAATTCCACCCTCGTGCATGAAAACATTTCCAGCATGCAGAATAAACACAACTGGATGCATTGTATATACCGAAGTAATTTAATTAAATAATCCTTTGTAACTGCAACATAATATACTTACTATGTCTGTTCTTCTTTCATATTACAGAAATATGTTTGCTATGGACATATTGCTTAGAGATTCAGTCTCCAGTTAGACACATTTTTTAGCAGCAGTATGATACTTTTCATAGATATCCAACACTGCATCCAGGTTTCCTGTGCAGACCACTGCCTGTACTTGTGGAACACAGTGACTGTATATACAACATAAGGAAGGTCATCAGTCCACAAGGTATTGAGAAGTCTGTGCCTAGTGACAGAGTAGGCCACAAATTAAGCCACTAGCTCCAAAACGTCTCGTGATATGCTTGCTTGAGGTTATGCATTCATACTTTACTGAATTACAGACCAGACCTTTATTTGCTAACTTTTTTTTTTTTTTTTAATCTCTTCATACTACCTGATCTCACAGGACTGTCACTTGTTTCCCTTGATATTCTTTAGGTGAGAGAGACAGAGGGTCAAGCTCTAACAAATGTACTATTCCCGCCCTCTGTGGTGAGCTATTCTATGGATAGCTATTCTCTTAGAATTTGTTTTAGATAACCTCAAAAAAGGTTGCTTTAAAAACGAACAAAAAAAAAAAACCAACACTGAAAGAACCAAAGCAACTCACCTTCCATTTCTTTTTCAGCTCTTTTGGCTTTTTCTTTATAAATGTTATCCAATCGTCTTTGCTTCTCCTCTTCCCTCTTCCTTTCAGCCTCAGTTCTGGCATGCACATCTTGAAAATCCACCTAAGGAGGAAACGAAGAGAAAAACGTAACATTCCTTGTAAGAAATATATAGAAAATCCATTTCCTAAGATTGTTATCTGTGGTGAAAAATCCTCTAACATCAGCGATCAGCCAAAAGCTCAGCAGTACTTCCTTTTATCTCGTCTCCTCCTAGAATCAATAACTACAGTAATTCTGAACGGAGTTTTTACTTCTACTAATAAGGGACTGCTAAGAATCAATGGCTTTCAGAAAGGAATCATAAGGTAGAAAAACAAAACACCTTAGATTTCTACATCTAAATTGCAGGAATAAACTAGGCTTTGGGAGACCTCTGTCACAGCTTTGGAGACATGGGGTTAGGGGAAATGGGCCAGAAGAGACTACACAGGGTAAGTATTCAAATTGCATGGAAATGGCACACTAGGTCCACTATTAGTAAAGGAAATTTAGGAAAATTTGTAAGCACTATTATGAGAAGTATACATGTCACTTATTGAAGAACTTTGTAAGCAAGGAAAGTAGAAGAGAAGACATTCAAATTAATTTAAAAAGACCAAATTTTGCATTTTACAATTACATTTGTTGGATTTGGGGACTGAGGGAAAAGTTAGCATTCAGTCTCACTTTACCTTCTTGTGACTAAAATATAAACACTGTTTATATATATATGCAAAATGCTGTTTCTTAAAATATTTGCAATGGGGTTTTTTTAAGTTTGTTCTTAGAAAGGCTTGTTCTTTGAAAGGCTTCACTTCTATTTTAAGGAAAGGAGTCTTGATTCTGTTATCGCATAAGGAAACCTCTTCAAAAAAGGGAAAACAGTACTTCCTTTTGATTGCTACCACATAACTTTCATTAACTTCAATACTGATTACCTTGAGTGCTGAGCAAGCCCGTACTTTGCTGCTAATAAAGTCCACAGACTCTCTGGTGTTATGGCTGTACTACAAGCACCCATTGAACGTTTGTTGTTACTGCCACTGCTAGACATCAAGCTTGTCAACATACAGTAAGGGTTCCCAGATACTGACATCCCACACCAACATTCTGGAGCCACTGAAAAAAGTGAAGTTGAATCTCACTTATGAGGTACAGGTCCAGACAACATTGAGATCACTCTACACAGGCCAAATAAGCCTCACTTTCTATTTAGTCCCACAAGGTCTCTCCTGTAACGTGTACATGGACTTAATAGCCACAGATCAAGAAAACCAAGTACATCCTACACCTGAAATTTGCTTATTTTTACACAATCCAAGAATTTTGTTAGTGTCTCATCTCAAACTTACTGAAACATTTGAATCTTTGTTCAGCATTAAGCAAGTAGGTAACTCCATTAAACGCTATGGAAGTTAAAAACCAAACGCTTGAACACGGGCTTAACCACACGTTAAAGTAAATGTTCCTACTGCTGAATAATCCCTACAGTGTGCAATAAGCCTTAAGGTTTTTACAATATTATTTATGCAAACACTTTAAAGGCAAATTGTTTTTATATAAAAGCCTTTAGGAGCAAAAGGATACTTCAGCTTTCATAGAAACTGGCATGGAGAGTCTCCATCAGTTTAGGAAGAAAGGCACAATTACCAACCTATTTTTTTATTGGGGAATTGGGGGGCAAGGGGAAGGTAGGGAAAAGAGTTAGTTTCACAACCTATAGCAGCACTTGCATGATCAAGGTGAGGTTTTTTGATTTTCTGGACCTCGTTTTTCTACCAAGTTTGCATAGCTCTCCACACAGTAGCAGGAGAAATAGATCCTCCCAAAGAGCAACATCGCCCACAAACATGGAACAAAGATACAGAATCCAGGAACTACAGCTACTGTTTCTAGGCAGTCAGCTTGGATTTGCACAGAAAACAAGAAATAGCTAGAGTTTCCTAAAACACAACTTTTGCAGCATACCAGAAGTCATTTGGAGTCATTTGCCCATTCTTCCTCCTTCTCTGTCCCAAAAGGACCAGCCGCATGCTGCTTCACTGCATTGTTTCATGCTTTGGCACTTGTCCAAGTGCCCCTCTTACAACGTCTACCAATTCATCATGGTTTACAACAGCGCACCTCGCATACTAGGTATCTATAACCAACCAAGTCTACAGCATGCACAAAGCTTTGAGTTGCCCAAAACAGGACACGCTGCCCTCTTACAGAGGCCTCACAAGCTCAGGATAACTTAGCGCATGGCTCACTTGCTACCTGAAGTCACCACTAACTCACAAACTTGGTCAGAACCCATCCAACCTCATTTAGGGAATATGGACTGAGACCAGAGTTGTTGTTCTGCCTCTGTATGAGTGCAGGCTATATGAAGCCTTTTAGCATTGGTCTGTAATTTTGGAACTGGATGTGATGAGCTGCAAACAATTGTTCTTGATGTAAGTGGTGTAAGTAGTGGGCCCAGACAACTACTACAACTTTTGGGAAAATATTGAAACACAGCAGGAAGATATTCTATGTTGAGCTACTCAAAATCCTGTTCACTCCATAATTGCAGTTCACTCTGTAATTCCATCCATGCATTCCTCAAATGCAAAGATACTATAATGTGATTTGGTTGCCTAAATATGCAAATATTTGGAAATATTTGAAATATCCCCCCCGCCTTCTTCTTTTATTAAGACAGGAGTTTGAAAACAATATTTTCAGATATACTGAAATATTATTTGTTCTCAAAGTCAAACAGTTATATAGGTACATACTTGGTACCTACTAACACTAAAATGGTGGGTAGCTCTCCAGATTTACACCCTAAAAGGGCAGCAGTTGTCACCTTCTGACCAACTGTTTATAAGGTGATTTTGGTAATAATTAGAAAAAACCCAACTCAACAACCACAAGCCATACACTCCTCACAAGTTGCCCTATACTACTGTGCCAAACCTGTAAAACAGAACAGCAGGTGTACTTTACTACTAAAAAGTACAAATGCCTCCTGAAATCTTGTGGTTGTCTCCTACACTTCAAGTATTAAACTGGCAAAAGGCCAGTTAGGTCAGTTGGCTTATCTCAACTTTTAAAGTACAAACTACATAAGACTGTTTCTATTGGTACTTCTACGTTTCTAGAAGTACTCAAACTCAGCTACTCTAGAAAATAGTACAGCCAACCTTGCTGGGTAGCTTAGTACCCCAAATATACAACTGGGTGATCACTGTTTACATATGGGGAGCAGCCTTAAACCAGAGGAGCACAGACATGCCAAACTTCAGCAGACTTGTAAACTTGCATGTTCAAATTTAGTGAAACTGTATTATATCTTAAAGCTCTCTCATTTCCTTGTCACTTTCATTGCAGTTGTTTGTTTGGGGTTTTTTTCCTCTTTATTAAACAAGACATCACGGGAAGATTCAAAGACAATCACTTTTTGTGACCAGACACCAAAAATTGTATAGAAAAAAGAACACAGTATGACAAGTATACAAGTAGGGCACACTATTAGCTTAGTACGGAACCAGAACAAGAGAAATACATCATGTATCAGAAAGGTTTTTGATCTACTGTTAGGAACACTAAACATCTGTCTTTCTGAAGAGAAAGAGAACCAATGTTTATTGAAAGCCTGATATTAGCATTGTAGATAGTGTGAATACTAGAATAGTGTTCCCAATTTTATTGTTTGCACCTCCAAAGAGATACTAAAGGAGAGGAATGTTCAAAACATCATAACTTGAAGCCTAGAATGGAGAGCTAAAAGCAAGTGTTTACACACAAGAAATTTCTCTTTAATAAAACTTCTTGAATGACACACTAACACTGCAGCTGAGGGGAGCCAGCACCTACACCTACTGTCTCTGTAGTACAGTGAAAGCAAGCTAGAACTGGACAACTCAGTACAGAAATCAGGCTAGTTTAAACTAGCATAGAAAGACTTACTAGCCGGTTATCCTCAGTTTAAGGTGTAACCATTATTTCCCTTCTAAAAATGCCAGACTTCGGGGCTTCAGGTAGGAACCAGTGGGTGAAAGCCTACAGGTGAACAATACTTTTCGCACCCTGAGAAAAGGCTAGTTGAGTCCCGCTCTCAGTACAAGCCTGGAGTTTTTGAAATTTTACAACACTGCAAGATGAAAGAGTTTGGGATTTGTCTTCAAAGACTCTGGTCAACAGTATGTCTCCTAATAACAAGGTCATTTCCAACAGCTTTCTATTTATTGGTTTCCTTGCTTTAAACGTCTCCTAGAGATCATCAACTGAAAACACACACAGAAGGAGAAATGCAGAGTACCTTCTTATTCTGCTTTAAGAAGTGGTATCCCAGAGAAAGCTTCTTGTAGGCCTCTCCGTATTTCTCATGCCAGTCTTGCACTGACTTAATGGCTGCCTTCCTCAGTTTCTGTGCCACCTCTCTGGGCGGGGGAAGAGGCTGCTCATGGTCTATCCCCACCGTCAGCTCCAAGAACTCTTGGAAATTGGAAATAACCAGCGTCCGGAATTGATGGGATCGGGTGAACAACTCCTGCACGATCTGGAAAGCTGAGAAGCGCATCTCGGCGTGCTCCTCGTTAAGCCGTGTCATCAGCAGGTGATAGACATGGCTGATATGTTCGTCTGAAGACCTCAGAAGGGAGAAAAGGGTGGGGAAGGGAAGAGGGGGAAAGGAGGGCGAGTTATTTAAAAAGGAGGTTTAGCACATAAACCCACAAGCTTTTAAAAATTTAATTTAAATTTTAAACCAGCAGCTTCTGCGCCGGCAGCAAGCTGCCCCCCC